ATCGAATGTAATAGATCGAGTGAGATCGACTTGGAGATCGATCGAGTGAGATCGATCGAGCGAGACCGATAGTGAGTTTCGATAGTGAAATCAATCGTGAGACCGATCGAGTGAGACGTTGGTTCCTCCCCCCCCGAACCTCCTTATCACCCGAAGGGTGGTCGTATAGGTATTATTCGTATCACTGTTACTTTTAAAATGCTTAATCGGAGGTTGGGGGGTGAGTCCGACGTGAAACGAAGACCCCCCCTACCGGGAAATCGATTTCGGTTTTGGGTTCGTGTCGTGCGTGCCGTCCGTGCGTGCGGGCGAGACGAAGCTGCGTGGGCGGGCGAGAAGAAATCCTCCTGTGGCTGGGCCGCGGCCGGACCAAATGTCTCCTCTGGCGGCCGGTGGCCCGCGGTGTCCCGCAGTTGTCCGGCTGGTGTCCCGAAATCCTATTGTGGCTTGGCCGCGGCCGGACCAAATGTTTCTCCTCCGGCGGCCCGTGACCCGCGGTGTCCCGCCGGTGTCCCGCTGGTGTCCCGTGGTGTCCCGTTGAGTGAGATCGATAGTGAGATCGATAGTGAGATCGATAGAGAGATCGATAGTGAGATCGATGTGGTGCCCCAAGGTGTCCCGTGGTGTCCCAAAAGGTGAGATCGATAGTGAGATCGATAGTGAGATCGATAGTGAGATCGATAGTGAGATCGATAGTGAGATCGACGGGTGTCCCGTGGTGTCCCGTCGTGTCCCGTGGTGTCCCGTTGAGTGAGAGCGATAGTGAGATCGATAGTGAGGTCGATGCGGTGTCCCGAGGTGTCCCGTGGTGTCCCAAAAAGTGAGATCGATAGTGAGATCAATAGTGAGACCGATAGTGAGATCGAGAGGTGTCCCGCGGTGTCCCGTGGTGTCCCGTGGTGGCCCGTGGTGGCCCGTGGTGTCCCGTTGAGTGAGATCGATAATGAGATCGATAGTGAGATCGACAGTGAGATCGACAAGTGTCCCGTGGTGTCCCGTGGTGTCCCGTGGTGTCTTGTTGAGTGAGATGGATAGTGAGATCGATTGAGTCAGATGTTGGTTCCCCCCCTCTCACCCCCCCACAACCTCCTTATCACCCGAAGGGTGGTCGTATACGTTATTATCATTATCGTCCTCATTATCCGTCCTCCTCCTCCTCCTCCTCCTCCTCCTCCTCCTCCTCCTCCCCGTCCCCCTCCACCTCTCCCTTCCCCTTTCCCATCAGGATCTGCTTCTTCTAGCCTTCCAGAAGTTCCAGATACGCGGCGGTGCCGCAGGAGAACCACAGCTCGGGGGGTCCTGTTGCTGCGGGGGGCCTAGGCTCTGGGAGACCCCTGGTGCACCTGCGCCCGCCCGTCCCAGGATCACGCCACACTCTGCTGTCGTCGTTGCTGCGGCCCTGAATTGAATTCTGCCGCGAGGTCTGGCTCGGGGGGCCCTGGAAGGAGGGGCTCGGCCTCGGAGATGCCGATCCCCCCGCGCCGGGCGATGAGCATCCCCAGCACCTCAGAGGTCGCGGCCAGAGACACGCTCCGGGACAAGCCACTCGCGCGCGGACGACCCCCGCGCGCCACATCGGAGCGGGCGAGGCCGACGGGCGTCCAGCCCCCGCACGTGGCACTCGACGGCTGCATCTCCGACGTGGGCCTCGGGTGTCACAAGGAAGCCCGGGCGCCCCAGCTACCGCACGCCCGGGCGACGCTGCCCTGGACGGCAGCAACGTCGTCACCGAGGTTCGCGGAGGTCGACGCACTCGAGATGGCGTGCAGCAGGGGCAGGGCGGTCATCGCGGAGGCAAGAGTCGTCATCGCAACCACTTGCCTCGGCGATGCGCGCTATCGCCGACTGGCACCACCGCGAGGCCGTGTCCTGCCCACAGGGACCACCCGAAACCGAGGATACAGGCGAACCAACGTCTTCATGGCAATACCACCCACCGAGGCGACGCCCAACAGCTCCAGCTCGCCCAGGACGTAGCGCAGAAGCATGTTGGAACACCTCTGGCAGCTCCAGGCGGCAGAAGGCGTCCTTCAAGTCGGCCCCCTCGACGTCGAGCCTGGTCGCGTCGGCAACCATCGAGGCAACCGAAGGAACTGCCCGTGCCCAACCTAATGAAGTCGGGCGCGCGGAAGACGTCGTTCCAGCAGCGGGAGTCCGCGACCACGCTGGGGCGGCCTCCTCCCTCTCGACGACAAGATGTTGGCACGGACCCCCTCCTCGAATACGACAACCACAAGATACCACTCTTGCAACATGCCGACAACACTGGACCGCGGCTTCTGGCTGCGCAACTCGGGATCAGAGTAAAGAACAGGCGCAGAGCTCAGGCGAAACCTAGACGCCGCATCGCTCGGACCACGCAAATTCTGCTGAACGAAGCGCTCAACTTTGGATGATTAGGCATAAAAGGACCTCTAACCCCTAACCCTTTGGGAGGCGACCTAAGTAAGGAGGGCCAGGGACATTAGAGATAGGGGGTCTTTTTTGCATGCAAAGACGGGGATCTCAGCGACGCTGCGTCTTCATCGTGTTGTTAGGATTAGGTGTTCTTGGATCCTCGATGATCGGATGGCCCGGCCACCCCCTGTACATCCGCCCAAAGAAGCGGCCCCGAGTTGACATCGGGCGAAGAAGAGGGGCGCGAGGTCTCTGATCCAGAGGAGGACCTGCTCGACGGCGCAGGCGCCCCCGTCCACGGGAAGCTGCCTCGGCGCTTCTGCGGGGGCAGATAAGGAGGGCGACGGACCAAGCTCCCGCAAGGATTCCTCGACGCGAGAGACACGCTTGCGCTGGCCCAGCGATGGGCCTGTATCAAACACACGACGGCCACGACCGACACGCCTGGAGGGACCATGGAGCAAATCACAAGAGCCGAAGGCGTTGATGACGTCGCCCTTGCGACAGAGCCTCCTAGGGATTCTCCGACAAGTCCCCCAAGGTAGGTCCCCCCCGCCACCGCGCCATAGATCATAGTGGCGCCACCGCGCCACCGCGTCACCTCTTAGGGATTCTGAGCTTCTTAGGGGTCTCCCCCGCCACCGCGCCCGGCACCTTTGGTGCTGGCGGGCAGGACCGCCGCAACAGATCGCGAAGGCGTCGCCGTCCGACGCCGTGGGCGGCTCGAGCGGGGCGAGGCAGTGGGTGCTCGACACCGAACCCACGAAGCGGTGGCGTGTCGGGCCGAGGTCGATGCTCACCAGTTGCACGGGCGGGGCGTCGCCAGTGCACTGCCGCCCCCGCCCACGGCTGCGCCGCGCAGAAGATCCGCCATTCTTTCGCATGGGTCCCCGCTCCTCGCGGGCCGGGCGCAGGCTCTCGCACAACTGGTCCTCCTTCCCCCCCATCCGCCGGAACGCGGTCGCTCAGGTCAGGCGAGACCATCGCAGAAAACGCCGAGGGCGGGCGTGAACTGTTCCTCGAAACTCCCTTTTCCGTGGCCTTATCCCGGTGAGCGAACTCGATGGTCGGGGGTCGTCTGAACTTCATCCACACTGGCGCGAGATTCGCGCCGTCCAACTGACCCAGGCGGTCAACCGCCTGGACCTGCTGCTCGCACACTTGGCACTGCTGCGGAACCCCTCGTCGGTCGCGCGATGCTCACACTCCTGCCCGAAGTGCTCGCGGCGGCTCGCGATCCCGCGGCGCTCGCGCGGATGGCAGCTCGCGCCACGGCCCGCAGTCCGAGGGCCCGGCGAAAACCGGTCCGCACTCTTTCCCAACCATCCTGTGGTGTTGGGTCCTCGTTTTGAAGGCGGTCCCCGCGTCCCACCTCCTCTCCTCTCCTCTCCTCTCCTCTCCTTTCCTCTGCTCCTCCTCCCGCTCCTCTCCTCTCCTCTCTCCTCTCCTCTCCTCCCCTCCTCCTCCCGCTCCTCCCTCCTCCTCCCTCCTCCCGACACCACCCTCACTTCGGCACACCCCTCACACGCTTCGTGGCCCCATAGGGAGCTCCACCGAAGGCCCGGATGCCAGCGCTCGCATGCGGCCACCGCACCCATTCTGGTACGCCCCTCGCACGTTTCGTGGGCCCACAGTCAGCTCCACCGAATGCAGTGCATACAACGACGGTACCCACAGCTGCAGATGAATGGGATCTTCGCCAGGCTAATTTCTTGGGCAAGGCCTCGAGGACCCGAAGCGTCAGAACTAGTCAGAACTTGAGTGCACTCCTGGCGCATCATCATCTGCATCATCATCGCCATCATCACCATCATCATCAAGAACATCAGCATCAGCATCAGCATCAGCATCAGCATCATTATCAACAGACCAGCCTCATCATCACAGCCTGATCGTCGTCATCATCAATGCCATCAGCATCATGAAGCCGCCATGGTCATCACAGAATCACCCTGGCAATGCCAATCACCCTCACCATCATCATCACCAGCATCCCCATCATCACCATCATCATCGTAACCATCATCATCATCATCATCATCATCATCATCATCATCATCATCATCATCATCATCATCATTACCATCATCATCATCATCATCATCATCATCATCATCATCATCATCATCATCATCATCATCATCATCATCATCATCATCATCATCATCATCATCATCATCATCATCATCATCATTATCATTATCATTATCATCATTATCATATCATATCATTCATCATCATCATCATCATCATCATCATCATCATCATCATCATCATCATCATCATCATCATCATCATCATCATCATCATCATCATCATCATCATCATCATCATCATCATCATCATCATCATCATCATCATCATCATCATCATCATCATCATCATCATCATCATCATCATCATCATCATTATCATCATCATCATCGTATGTGTATTACTCGTCGTCACCGTCAGCATAACCAGCATCACATTAGCATTGAAGTTTTCTTATTAGAATGTATATATATAGCCTGCGCCGCACCACTATTAATACTCTTCCTCTCTCCTACCCCTGGTGCCTTGTCCTCACCGTCCTCTCCTCCTCGCTTCTCATCCCTCCTCCTCACCTCCACTGCTTTGTGGGTTCCACCCGGGGGGGAGCGCCAAAGCGCGCTCTGGACTCAACGACAGAGCCCGCCCCAATAGTTTAAAACCGCGAACTCTGAGTCGCAAGCACATGCTAAGGCGTAACGGGAGCTCCTTCAAGCTGACACCGCAACGTGGCACGCATCTATGCGCTAAGAAAAAGCGCAACGATCACAGACTCAGAGTCTGGCACGGTATGCTCGCACATCCCATATGGCCCTCACCACAGGCTCGGCCATCTTGAAAACCACCTTGCATGACGGGACAAGCGAGGTGACCTTCCACTCCCCGTTCTTTTCCCCCCGCCCCCGTTCCGTCCCTCATTCTGCCCCCCCCCACCCTCCCACATTCCCTCCCCCCCCTCCTCCACTTGAACCCCTCCTCCATGCCTTTCCCCATTCCTTTCCCCAGCCCCCTCCCCCCCCTCTCCTCCCCTCTCCTTACTCCCCTCCTGTTCCCTTCCCCCATTCCCTGTTCCCCTGTCCCCCCCTCTCACCCCGGCCCCATGTTACCGTACCTTCCCTCGTTCCGCGCCCCCGGGTCCCCAGGGAGGTAACAAGACACCGATACCGCTACTCCATGGGCCTGTCTTCCAAGGCGCGTTCCGAGCAAGATTCCGAAGCGAATCCAGCCGTGGGGACGAGTGAGAGGCCGAACAAGGCGCAAAAGAAGGAACGATATCAACATGGGTATGGTGTTCTGCCCTGAGCCCCGTCCGCCCCCCTTTTTTAAGATGCCATTCCCCCCCTGAATGTTTGAATCTGAGAAGGGGAGTCTACTTTGGCCAACTAAAAACACACGGCCCACCAAACGTTTGAAGCTTCCGCATGGACTAAGACATACGAGTGCTTTTGTTCAGCTCGCAGGAAAACAAATCATACCGTCTCTCGTGCAAGATGGGTGTATGAATGCACGAGCTACCGCCCACACGACCTTGCACATGACCGATGATTCGTGCACACACGCACACACACACTTTTGAAGCCGGTGGCGCAGAGGGTCCTCAAGCGCGGGCAGCAGATGGAGGTGCTAATTGTAAGCGAGCGCTGTCGAAGGCGCAGTGTACGAGATCGTGCATACACAACACACACAAGCACACACACACACACACACGTCATACGCCAAAAGCGCCTGGACGCTGACAGTACTGCACAACGCTGTGTTTCCACATGCGCTGATCATGCTTGGCACGAAATGTTCCCCTCAGACCCAAGGTGGTCCACTTGTTGCGCGGCCGCCGATGAGTATGCGTGTGCGTGTGCGTGTGCGTGTGCGTGAGCGTGGGCGTGTCCGTGGGCGTGCGTGTGCGTGGGCGTGGACGTGTGCGAGTGCGCGTGGGCGTGGGCGTGGGCGTGGGCGTGGGCGTGGGCGTGGGCTTGGGCGTGGGCGTGCGCGTGCGCGTGCGCGTGCGCGTGGGCGTGGGCGTGGGCGTGGGCGTGGGCGTGGGCGTGGGCGTGGGCATGGGCGTGGGCGTGTGCGAGTGCGTGTGCGTGCGCGTGTGCGTGGGCGTGGTGGGCATGGGCGTGGGCGTGCGCGTGCGCGTGGGCGTGGGCGTGGGCGTGGGCGTGGGCGTGGGCGTGGGCGTGGGCGTGTGGGCGTGGGCGTGGGCGTGGGCGTGGGCGTGGGCGTGGGCGTGTGCGAGTGCGTGCTTGCGCGTGTGCGTGCGCGTGTGCGTGCGCGTGGGCGTGGGCGTGGGCGTGGCGTGGGCGAGTGGTGGTGCGTGCGCCGTGGGCGTGGACGGGGCGTGGGCGTGGGCGTGGGTGGCGTGGGCGTTGCGCGTGCGCGTGGGCGTGGGCGTGGGCGTGGCGGGGGTGGGCGTGGGCGTGGGCGTGGGCGTGGGCGTTGTGCGAGTGCGTGTGCGTGCGCGGGGGCGGGACGTGGGCGTGGGCGTGGGCGTGGGCGTGTGCGTGGGCGTGCGTGGGTGGGCGTGGGCGTGGGCGTGGGAGTGGGCTGGGGCGGGTGGGCGTGGGCCGTGGCGTGCGGGTTGGGCGTGGGCGTGGGCGTGGGCGGCGGGCGTGTGCGAGTGTGTGTGCGTGCGCGTGTTGCGTAGACGTGGGGGTGTGCGTGGCGGGGGCGTGTGCGTGTGCGAGTGCGTGTGCGTGTGTGTGGGCGTGGGCGTGGGCGTGGGCGTGGGCGTGGGCGTGCGTGTGCGTGGGCGTGTGCGTGAGCGTGGGCGTGTCCGTGGGCGTGCGTTTGCGTGTGGGTGGGCGTGGGC